TGGGAAACACATATCCGTAGTGATATGTGCCCCCCCCCCCACCTGGGAAACGCATATCTTTAAGGATATTTGTTTCCCAGGTGGAGGATCACATATCACTAAAGATATGTGTTTCCCAGGTGGAGGAACACATATCGCTAGGGATATGTGTTTCCCAAGAGGGAGGGGGAAACACATATCCCTAGTGATATGTCTTTTCCCACCTGGGAAACACATATCTGTAGTGATATTTCCCCCTTCCCCACCTGGGAAACGCATATCTCTAAGGATATGTGTTTCCCAGGTGGAGGAACACATATCACTAAAGATATGTGTTTCCCAGGTGGAGGAACACATATCGCTAGGGATATGTGTTTCCCAGGAGGGAAGGGGGAACACATATCCCTAGTGATATGTGTTCCCCTACCTGGGAAACACATATCCCTAGTGATATGTCTTTCCCCACCTGGGAAACACATATCCCTAGTTATATGTGTTTCCCCACCTGTGAAACGCATATCACTAGGGGTATGTGTTTCCCAGGTGGGGGAACAGATATCACTAAAAACATTTGTTTACCTGGTGGAGGAACAGATATCACTAGGGATATGTGTTTCCCGGGGGGGGACGAATATTTCTAGTGATATGTTTTACCCCACCTGGGAAACACATTTCCCTAGTGATATGTGTTCCCCCACGTGGGAAACTCATAACCGTAGTGATATGTGTTCCCCCACTTGGGAAACACATATCCCTAGTGATATGTGTTTCCCCACCTGGGAAACACATATCCCTTGTGATATGTTTTCCGCCACCTGAGAAACAGATATTCCTTAGTAATATGTGTTTCGCCACCTGGGAAACACAGATTCCTTGTGATATGTTTTCCCCTACCTGGAAAAGACGTATCCCTAGTGATATGTGGTTTGCTATCTGGGAAACAGGTATCCGTCGTGATATGTGTATCCCTGCCTTGGAAACACGTATTTCTTGTGATTTGTGTTCCCCTACCTGGAAAACACATATCCCTACTATATGTGTTTCCTTACCTGGGAAAGACAGATCCCTAATGATTTGTGTTCGCCAACTTGGGAAGTATCCCGAGTGATGTGTGCTCTCGTATTTGGCAAACACATATCCCCTTGGTTTGTTTGCCAACCTGAGAAACGCACACCCCCTTGTGATATGTGATCTCCTACTCGTGAAACCCATATTCCTGGTGATATGCGTTCTTCGATCTTGTAAACACGTATCCCTAGTGATATGTGTTCCCCAACCTCTGAAACACGTTGCCCCACCTGGGAAACTCATATTTCTAGTGTTATGTGTTCCCTTACCTCTGAAACACATATCCCTAGTGATTTGTGTTCCTTGACCTGGAAAACACATATCCCTAGTGATATGTGTTCCCAACGTTCACAACACATGTTCCTTTTTATATGTGTTCCCCTACCTGCACAACACATGTGCATAGTGATACGTTTTTCCGTACCCGGGAAATACATATCCCTGTTGACATGAGTTGTCCTACCTATAGAAATTAAAAAGAGTAGGTGACAACGTGCAATCCTTTACAAGTACAGGATTGGCTTAGTTTGTCATCAATTTTAATTGCCGATTTATCATTTGGGTACATGGATATTAAAACTCCAAGAAAGGTTTTGGAGACTTTTTTTTGTCGGTTTGTCGACTAGTTTCTATCGGGGTATACACTCGTCGAAGGCTTTTCTAAAGCCGACGAAGCATTTCGGCGGCTTCTGTGGTTTAGGTTTCACGTGCTTGTCAATAAGCGTTTTTAATGTGAAGACGCTATCAACTGTGCCATGCATTTTTCTGAAGCCACCTTGTAATTTTCGACTTTGGTTCGATCATCCTTTTTGTGAATAGGTACAATGAGGCCAAAACTCCAAAGAGCAGGGCCCGGTATTTGCCAGTATCTAAGATTAGATTAAATAAATTTACTAAATGCCCTTTAAATGGCTTTCTATCCGATTCTTATTACTTTATTTAATATATTATCGATACCTGGAGATTTGTTTGCCTTCAGTTTGTTAATTGCAGCTTCGAACTCTTCATCAGTTATCGGATAATTAGTTGTGCCTTCCGTTCTTTCGTTGCTGAGAGAGGCTGCATTCTGTTGCTTAAAGTATTTATAAAACTGTTCCGTACTTACTGTTTCAGCTCCATGTGTTTTTCTTTTTCCTAAGTTAAAGATTTCCCTATTTGTCGCCAGGTCCCTTTGGAGTTCTGCATATATCGATATTAGACATACCTTTGCTGATAGACTGCTGTTTCTTCCGTCTACAAGTTTGTTACAAAAACAACAACATAAGCTTTATTTGCATGACTATAATTATGTAGTTACAGTATTGCGAAAGCTTCAACGTAAAGTTAAAATTTATAACAATGATAATGCAATGCAATGATTACTGCAGTCAATAAGGTGTCATCAGCATGATTTGATAACAATTGCAAATCAGTGCATAAATCATTACGTAATGGGACAAATTTCAACAAATGTGAATTTACGGAAAAATTATCTGAATTGTTTGAACCTCTTCTTTTTGTCTCGCAGTAGTTGTCTCAGTTCTGCATAATTAATGTTATGAGAAATGTTCTCCCCAAGGGATTGCAACTTTTCTTTTTCTGTTTCGCTTTCCTGATCGAACCGTTTGTTTTGTCGGGTTTGCATTTAATTTTGCTGCCTCTCGCTTTGCTCCATCCGGCTTCTTTGCATGTTGGCACTAAAGTGGCCATTTTTTCTTTTTATTTTAGGAAATGTAGGGCAGAAAAATGTATTTTCCAGAACGAAAAAACGCCTTAGGCTATGAAAACAAGAAGTTGAAAAAGTCAAGAATTTAAGATTTTTCCAAAGGGGTTGGTCCATGATTTTGGTCCAAAATTGACCATTTTTTCATCTTTTTTCTTTAAGGGCAATATAGGCCAGGAAAATGTGTGTTACGATATTCTAGAACGAAAAAAACGCCTTTCTAGGCTATAAAAACAAAAAGTTCAAAAAATTGAGGTCTTTCCAAAGAGTTTAGGCCATAACCTCTTCTTAAAAAATCTTAATTTTTCGACCTTTTGATCGTCTTGTTTTTATGGCTTAGAAAGGTGTTTTTTTTTTTGTTCTAGAATATCGTAAAACACATTTTCCTTGCCTACATTGCCTAAAAAAAGATCGAAAAATGCCTAATTTTGGACGAAAACCATGGACTAACCCGTTTGGAAAAATCTCAATTTTTTTTACTCTTTGCACTTCTTGCTTTTATAGCCTAGGAAGGCGTTTTTTCGTTCCAGAATATCGTCAAACACATTTTCCTTCCCTATATTGCCTAGAAAAAAAAAAGATGAAAAAATGGCCAATTTTTGGACCAAAACCAGTCCATGGTTTTGGTATATTGACGACTTTAATGAGATGCAAAGTAGAATTACTATAAACTAGGCGCTCATGTACATTATTGTTGGTAAAGCAAAATAAAAAAAGAGTGGACCTTGTCTTACCTAACGACTTTCTGTAAGGACTTCCGCTGCAGACTTACTGAGCATAAGGTGATCTGCGACATCCAAACTGATCACCTTTCTTGTGTATTAAACCGTGGAAATCGACGCTTATTCACCAATCATGCTTCAAGTTATCTTCAGTGACTTACTTGTTGTACGATCAAACTGATATCTTTTCAGCTTTTCGAGAATTGAAGTCGAGATCAGAGCATCTGTCATGCATCAAGGATACCAGCTTGTCGAGAAATTCACTGTCTCAGCATACACGTCGTTAAATATTTCCTTTCACGTCAATTCACGAGTACGCTCGTGAAGAATCGTATTGTTATCACACGAACAACACAATAAATAAAGTTAACTCCTCAAGTTTAATTTCAAAACCGAAATGTAAAGAATATAAGAAGATTTCGTTCTTGTAAGCCAATAATATTTTAATCGCTTCTAGTAAACATATCTCCTTGTTGATGATAAAATTGTCCTCTTTATAGCTGGAGGCAAAGTCTTATAATCAATTATTAAGAGTTCGACAACGGCGTTTAATATAATTACACTGTTGAAGACCTTGAAATCAACGAAGTCCAAGAAAATGGCGCGAATCAATCACATGGTACCTCTGGCTACTATTCTAAACATTCAGTTTATTATGAACGGAATGCCTTTGGGGCATACGCAAGATAACACGCCATCTTTGATAATTATTACGGGTCATTACTCTCTAAGTTGGTTGGCTCAGTTTCGCTTACTTAAACTCACTGTAAATCTACATAGCAACAAATCATCTATGTCTGAGAACATTCAGTGTAAACAGTGTCCCAATGTTTAAGCGGGGGAGACAACTTGGATTTTGTTAACAAGCCCAATGTACAGAGCCCCTGCAATTGTGTGAATCTTGATCGTATGAACCATTCCAGAATGTCACTTTATCAGTCCGGCAGAAAAAGACTGACGGGTAGGTGGTGGAAAATACACCCTCATGAACGGGTAAAACTCTCCACCCCTTCCCTCACCGGATTCCATCTTAATTCAGTAATGCCCACGAAGAGGAGGCTTTTTTACCACTATTTTTCTGCCCCGCAGACACTTTTAGGGTTTATTAGGGAACGTGTGGCGAGCCCCTGAGAACGTCTGGGTGAAAGGCTTTGTAGTTTTTCTATAGCTTCATTTGACAGAATATGGGTTATTTTAAGCCTTCCAGCTATCTAACCTTAGTGTTTAACGAGCCAGACATCACGGAATGCTTAAGCTTCCTCCAAGGCATTTTTTTAAGTACAACCATACGTAATGCAAACCTGCCCAAAACTGTGGCACATTATTTGAACAACATTTATTCATCCAACAGGCAACATACAGGCTTATGCCAATTTTATATCCTTGCATCGGCTTTATTGTAATTTCCAATTGCTTCCAAGCGCTATTGTTTATTCACTACGACTTCAGCAGTTTAATTTAATGTGTTTTTCATTATTTGAATATTGGTATTTCTTGCTTTAACTTCATGGACTTTTTTGAGATCAAAG